CTTCCAAAAAAAAAAAGCGTTTGAAAAAGTCACTATGGTCGGCCTGTGTAATTAGGGACACCTATCCTCACGTGCCATTTCAGGTGGAGACACGTGCCGCGAAGACACCTGTCACTGTGTATTTTTTGTATATTCTATGTGAATTGAGACGGTTTTGTACCTAAAGGGAACAATGGGCTGTTGTCAAGCATGTACACACACAGTCTCCGACCGAAAATTCCTTTGAATTAAGATGATGATTCGTGTTTCTTTTATCATTTAAAAAATTGTATATTCCATAAATTAAGTTATACAAGAGAACATATTTATAAAATAACCTTCATTTAAGAAGTTCAATGAAAGAACAAACTATTTAGAGTTTTTATTTCAATTTTCATTACTGATTTAAAATAAAACTATCCTCTTTAGAAATTAAATAATTTTCTATAGGTATTGAATAGATCTTAATTCTCGTTGTGTATAATTATTATATTAAATCAGAATGACATTAATAGATAAGTGTGAAATCAAAACTGTATTTAATATTGCTGATGGGTTTTTGTGTGAAATTTGTAATCTAACGTACTACAAAGACATTTAGTAGATAAATGTTTATAATATAATTCATCACATAAAACGTTTTTTTTTTTCTTTCCTTTTTTTTTGTTTAAATATGTACGCAGATCCCCGTGTAGTAAACGCCTGCACTTTTCGCATGAAATTACAATGTAGGGTCCTAAATGCACATACATTATATTTAACAAACTTTAAAATTTTCAGCCATTTTTTTTTCTCCAAAGGCCATTGCTCTAGATAAAGAAAAGTCTATAATATTTTGCATGATCTTGTACGTTTTCCTTAAGAACAATGGCTTTTAAAGTAGTACATGCTAAGGCAATCTATTAAAAGAATTAATTGTATAATTAATTCATTGTATAATTGTCACGATTGTATTTTTGTGCAGTTTTTGTTGATTTCATTCTATAAAGGTATGAAGTTTGTCAATACTTCTACAAACATTTCTTTATCTATGTTGTACACTACTTTATTTTTATTCGCCGACATGCTACTCTTTCTAAAAAAAAAAACTTGCGTGACTAATAGACTCGATCTTCAGGCCTGTAGGAAAGTTATTTCCATTAGAGTAATAAACTAACTTTTATTTTTACTAACATACCTTACCAGATTTCTTAACGAAAAAAAAACATTAAAGAAATACAGGACGGGACCAGCTAAAGCTGTATGCATAAGTACAGTCCTGCACATCAACGAGTATAGATGACTTTCTACATAATCTTTCCCATGACTTCACTTATACCAATCACGACTAAAATACTGAATTAAAAATACTGTTATATTTTCCTGCCTTTGATTAGATGTTAGTTTTGTTCCACCTTAAGATATAACTCTCCTAAGAAAAAGGTTTTCAACATTCTGATTCATTTAACAATTTTACGTGTTAAAATGATGTGGGAAATTTTTTTAGCTAAAGGCCAAGGAGTTTAAAGTACAATGTACATGTAACAACTAGAGAAAAGTCTAGCAGGTCCACCAGTAATATTGATAGCAGGCTCAAAATCTAATTAAACCCCGAAAAGGAGGGAGTTCAATAAGTAATTTAACCCCCCCCCCCCCCGAAAAAAAAACACAACAATTTATTAGCAATGAATTATTAATCACCGAACTTTTCAATCATCACTATTGAAATAAAAAAAACTATTCTTGATAATCATATTATAATTGCAGCTCATTTTCATGCCTTTTAGGATTCCTGTGGAAAGTTCACAATAAAAAAAATGTGCTTTTAAAAATTTAACATCTTTTGGTGTGACATTATAAATTCATAATCATACATGTAACAGTTAAAAGAAGCGGGGAGAGGGGGGGGGGGTACTTTCAGCAAGGACGGCCACTACCAACAACCAAGCCCCGAAACCCATATCCCGAGGGCAAATAAGTTGAGGTGTCAAGCAAGAAACAATTTTTTTTCTCCTTTTGCCTCATGTATTTAACCGCTTTTTTCTAAATATACTAGGCCTATACATCATATCGGCAAAAATATTTAGGAGCCCCTCTTTTTATTCCATGAAAAGGGGAAAACTTAATTAAATTCTAATACTCAGTATAGGATCTCATAATCACACTTAATCATAGTGAATGTCGCTCTGTAGGCGCTTTATTTCATTGGTCAATTTCCCGAGGCGCCATTTTTGGAGGATCGAGAAGGACGAAGAAGAAGGTGTAAGCAGCTGGTAAATGTGAAAAGTTAAGATGGTTTCACCACCCAGTGTCTTTAAGACTGTGATAAATGCAATGGCCAACGATGAAGGATTACTGTACGTATATTTTTGTTAACTTTTTACGGTAAATAGTAAAAAAAAAAACTGTTGTAATATTTGGCAACAAATCTTCACTATCGGAGGCAACTTTTGTTCTGACGCCATTTTGAAAAGTTGGATACCTAAGTTTTAAATTGTTAAGTGTATATATTGCACAGAGAGAGAGAGAGAGAGAGAGAGAGAGAGAGAGAGAGAGAGAGAGAGAGAGATTTGAGACAGTGATATAGTATACACTTATCCACTGGTTGTGAGTGGGATAGCTCTTTTATCAAACCCGTGACAGGGAACTATTCCCCGAGGGCTTGCCCGAGGGGAATAGTTCCTGTCAAGGGTTTGATGAAAGAGCTATCCCACTCACAACCAGTGGATAAGCGTTTTATTATACTGATGTATAATATAATTTCTGAGGTTTGAATTTTTTTGGCGTAAGATAATACTGCAAGAATAATCTGAAATCCTGATGACGTCACAATGCTACTGAAGTCAGTATGACATCATCAGTCTATAGATTTATCGCTGGAAATCAAAACTGGCAGCAAAAATTGCATGAAAATTTTCCGAGGGTGGATAGCAAAAACTATACCCCGGGGTATAGTTTTTGCTATGCGTGGACTATAAAAGATAGTTATTTTACCTTCTGAACTTTATATATGAAACATTTTAACAGAAGTATAATAACATAACTTAGATTATGGAGGCCCCAAAGGCATGTGCATGCTGTATGTTGTAAAATGGCAACGTTTCGCCTTTTATCATGTTTATTAAAATGTATGCTCCATATGTATGTTCTCTCTCTATATATATAAATGAATACTTTTCGGAATTAAAAAAAAATATTTTTAACCCCGCTCAAATTATCCGGATAATAATAGTTACACCGAGCATGGTTTTGTAGTTAAATTCAGACTGTAGAACATCCGGTTTGAATACATGTGTTTTCAGACTTTTCGGATAGTCAACCAGGCGCGGATCCAGGATTTGGAGTTAGGGGGGGCGCCAAAATTAGGCAAGGGGTCTGGGGGCCGCCGTGAGGCCCCCAGTGGGTCCAGGGCAAAGCCCTGGTGGGGGCCCAGGGGGCGAAGCCCCCGGAAGCTCCTGGATTCTAGAGATTTTGAAGGGTAAAAATGAGTTCTACCAAGTAGACGTATTTGATTTACGCTAACTTTGACAATTTTAGGGGGGGGGGGGGCGCGCCGGGTGCGCCCCCCCCCCTTAAATCCGCCACTGTCAACTCTTGTTTTTTGGAACTTACGACTTATGGCAAGGTATAAATTAAATATTTTTGGTTCAAAACTTTGATAAAAGCATCGATATTTTTACAAAAAGTGTCTTCAATCTCAGCTTATCCGATTATTCATGAAGGATATCCTCATCAGAACAGTTGGAATAGATTGTAGCGAATAGCATAACCTTTAATCATATGCATGACGATGATATGGTGGAAAAATATACATAAAAAAAGTGAATGTAGGTGAAAGCCTGTCCACTTTGCTGAGGAGATTAGGTTTGTTTTATTGTTTATTCAATATTGAAATAGTTTACTGCTCAAAAGATTTTTTTTTGTAATGTCTAACCTGTTGAGATGTAGATGTAAAAAAAGAAAAGCCTAATAGTGAATTAATATTGATAGTATGTCAAGAAATGCAATTAAATCATCAGCTTGAATTATCAGTTTTTTCACAATTATTGACCTGAGTAGGTCAATGTATAGCGAATAATACATACTCTTTTCCATATCACATCCTAGCCCGAGACACCAATATCAGCCAGAGGGACAGAGGCCCTAGGGCTGATATTGGTCGAAGGTCTGATACAGGATGTGATGTGGAAAAGGGTATGTTTCATTATGTTTATTACAAACTTGGTAATAAAATACAGAACACTTCAAGTTGAGAAGATCAAGAAAATAAGTAAATAATCATGCACAATAATACTTACTTACCATGCTTACATACATGTACATGGTATTGTCTTACTGAACAGATTTAGCTGTCATTAGGTCAAAATTGCAAATAATAACATGCTTCTTATATCTGTTTACACAGGTAACTCTTGATGGCTTGAACTTCAATTTCTCGGAAGTTCTTGATCGCTTGAAGTGAGTCTCCGGTCCTGATTTTTTCCACTATATAACTATTAAGCAGATTTGCTCTTGATTTCTCGAACTCCTGATCTCTCGAAACCCTTGATCCCTCGAAGTCAAAATGCAGTCCCGCTGTGCTGTGAATTTTACCCTTGTTACCTCGAAGTGGCTGTGTGTATACCAAGTTATAATGTTCAAACTTTTGCCATAACTGTATATTTGTGTGTCTGTCTGAGTGTCTGTTGTCAACTTAAACCTTCACCATAACTTTAGAACTATACGAGATAGTGGCTTCATATTTAGTATGCGTACTCCACTAATGAAGTGCTTTCAAATGGCAACAAGGACAATGATTATGTGATCTTGACTGTGACCTGTATGCCAAAAAAAATTGCATTTTCGAACTTTGTTGCTGTGTTTCACAAGTGCATCTTGTTTTTAGCTCTACTGGTCAGAGACCAGAAGAGCGTATGTGATAGTAATGCATCCGGCGTCCGTATGTCTGTCTGCAAACACTACTCCTCCTTAAATTTTAGTCCGATTTTAATATAACTTGGCACACAAGTAGACTATACTAAGATACATTTATAATTCTGTGCATCAGTTTTTGATAAGTACAAACCAGTAGAGCTACAGTCTCGACAGAGACTTCTGGTTATTTTTTCTTCCATCCCGGTTGTTGCTAATGCTATTACATAATTAGTTTAAATTAGAATGCAATAGTACCTGGACATAATTTATCATTTCAGAGAGAAGAAAACTGTGTGACGTTAAAAGAAAACCAGTGAGATAAAATCATAGAAAATGTATGATGATTCAGGATGTGGTCATTTGGTAAGTTGTAATTCATTCATGATTAGTATGTATATGACAATTGTCTGGAAAAAAAAAGATTCTAAATTTTATTTAAATACTGAACTGTGGTATATCACCTGTGAGCTTCAAGAAGTTTTATGTAAAAGCTAGGGCTGAAACAATTTGCCCCCTCCATGTTATGTGTGTATTGCTATAATGATTGACATACAATCAGTTCTCTAATACATACACTTCAATAAAACTTTGTCATCTTGAACCTGGATTGAACAGGAAAAAACTCTGAGATCTCTCCAAAAATTTGAATGAAAAAAAGGAAATGCTTATTAACTGATTTCTTGCTGGTCAGTATTTTGATTACTTAAAGGAAGCTCTAAAATAATATCAGGTAGTTTTATGAAGTTAGAGTGATCTGTCCATAGATTGAGATTATGAAAAATGTTATTTTACAGTCAGTTAGATTATTTTTAATAGATTAAATTATTTTTAGCATTATTTAAAATAAAAAAATAGGAAATTAATTATTTTCATAAATTTTTCCAATGTAAGTAAACAGCAATGATTTCTGCTTACAGATAGTCCATTGTCTTTGAAAATTTCTTGGGGAAATGAGGCACATACCATATGTTCTAAATGCATAAAAAAGGCTCATTATGCACATATTTGTATGAAATATGATAGATTTTTTTCTCTCCAAGGAATAATTTCTGCAAGTCACTAAGTTTTTAGAGTTTCCTTTATTTTATAGATATTCAATCAAATTATTTGAAGTATTAAATTTTGGTAAATTTTATGATACTAAAAGGTTATATGGATGAAAAAACAGCATGCGTGTATGACAATCAGGGCTTAAATTTTTAATGTCTTAATTTTTCAGTGACATTAAAACAGGAATTGTCATCACCAATAGACGAATTTCACATTCCTAAGAGTTTTCTCCAATTGTCGGCGTATCGCTCATTTTTCCCACTTTGTCCTTAGTAAGTTACAAGTAAGTTACTTGTTAATATATTTTCAATCTTCAAAAATATTGGACAATTACGATCTGTGTCTGTATTGCCAGAGTATGGGGGCAACATGAAAATCATAATGAATATGTTCATACAGATTTTATTTCTAAGATATTGTCCCTCAACGTTGATACGGTTAAAGAGGGAAAACAGCGTCTTAAGCCGGTTGACCCCAGATCGACCCTGCGAAGGGGAATAACTTTTGTAAATGTGAAAGTCCTTTATGGTATATCATATAGATCTAAAACTGACTGAATTTTGATCAGCCAATTCATGAACATGATGAATGGATGTAAATAATGTTGGTCAATATATGAAAAAAAAAATTAAATTACTTGTTTATACATGTATATACATTTGTGGTATCTCTCCCATTGAAGTTTATAAACTTGTTATTTATTTCTTAAATAAACTGAGCGTACATGCAATACCGGTATAAAATTACTCATAAGATACATGTATACTTAAACCATGATAAAATCATCTGTGTCCAATGCAGCATATGATAAATCATTAACATACAAGTACATGTGTATATAAACTGTAATACATATATATTGCATTATTTTTAGGTCCTGTTCTGTGGATGCCCTAAGACAGTGTCTACCCATCACTCCATCTGATATCACTTGTTCTGTGCATATTTCTCTCTCAAACTTAAACTACAGAGAGCCTGTGGATAGAGGATGAAGAGTGACCTTGGACTAATTTTCTAGGTCAAAGGTCAGTATCAAAATCTACTGTATATCTTTATTTAAAATCATAGTCCATAGTAGATTTCTCCCCTGGTGTAATCTAGCTTTTGTGCAATGGGGTGGAGGGTCTGCAATGATCTTCAACCAATTTCTAGGTCGAATATCAAAATTAAAAAAAAAAATCTCTCCCTAATATTTTTGTTATTATAAAGGGTATGTTTTCTCTCAAACTAATCAAACTTAAAGCAGGGTTCTTAGTATGAGATACATGTAGTAATATATTCTCAATGACATAATCAGGCTGAAAACATTATTTATATTATGTTATTTTTTTTTCACTTATCATAAAGCATTAAATATTAAAGATATACATTAAATGCTGAAATCATATGTATCATGGTCATGGAAAGTAATTATTGATATTGGTATATTAAAGGACATTGACTGATCTTTCAAATTTCTAAGTTATATTCAAGCATTATAATTCTGACATCATATAATAATTTTGTATGAATATTGCAGATCATAGGTGATGTGAAGAAAACCAGGAAACTGATGTTGAAAGAAGTACTTAATGACCCTTATAAATGGACTTAAATGTGAAAGACTGTTCCATTGTTTATCTAAGATATATGAGTTTATTTAATATTTTGATATCATTGAAAAATTCAGTTACAGTTTTTGTACATCAAATGAATTATTAAACATATAAAATGGTAATGCTTTTTTCTTTTACATGTAATAAATTTTTTGATAGATTTTTTAAAGAACACGCATTATTTCACATTGCTTCCTTTAGAAAAGTTAGGGAATCTTGAAGTTTCCCAGTAATTTCCACCAGGAATGGGACTCCAGATAATTCCACCAAGTTTCCGCCACACAGAAAGTGCTACACAAGTTCCATATAGTTTCCTGAGTCAAGGAAACTTCAGGAATCATAAGGTTTCACGAGCTTCCATGTAGTTTCCCATAAAAGAAAACCTTAAGATTCCATCAAGTTTCCATTCCACGGAAACCACTACGCTCATATTCCATATGGTTTCCTGAGTCGAGGAAACTTTAGGAATCGTGAGGTTTCCCGAGCTTCCATGTAGTTTCCCGTACAAGGAAACCTAAACCAGTGGAATCTTCAGGTTTCCCATTATGGGAAACTACATGGATGTTCGGGAAACTTCAGGTTTACAGATGTTTCCGTGTTTCGGGATACCTTATGGAATCGGAGCGTAGGGGGTTTCCGTGTCACGGAAACTTGGCGGAATAACCTAGCATCCGCTACGGAAACCACTGGGAAACATGATGTAAACTTGAGGTTTCCATGTGGTTTCCATAAAGTTTCCCATGATGGGAAACCACTTTTTTCACCCAGTGATTTATTTCTGATATCCTTTCACACGTTGAAAAAATATCTTTTTAACACAGTTTGACACTTTGACAAACCTTTATTCAGTAAACGAAGTACAGTATTCCATAGTTAAAAATAAATTTTAAAAATTCTGGCACTTTTTCTGTCCAATATGTTGTTGCTGCTGCTAATAAATGACGTTGCACTCAAAAAACAAAGAATATATACATGCATGTTGAATATAAATATTTTTAATGACATTGATTGAAGGAATAAAAAGTATCAACCCGACTGAGTTGTCCATACAATAATGTCATGATTAATCTTGCAAAGCAATATCTAAAACGAGTCATGGAGAAAGTACATATTAGTGGCATTATGTGTAATTAAGAATACATGTTTGAATTTATTTTAAGGACATTGAAATAATATTAAAACTCCTTATTAAGTCTTTGGCAAATCAGGTGATACTGTTATACTCTCCCTATGGAAAGGAGGGAGAGACGATACGATTGATATGTCTTATATCACTACCAGGTGATCCTCCAGTCAATGTGTCTTGGTATAAAGGATCAGTATTATTATCTACTGGTATTAATAAGACATTTTACAGCTTTATTCCTACAAGAGACAATGATCTACAAAACTACACATGCACTGCATACAATCCAGCTTTATCAAAGCCAATGAGAAGAAATGTTCAAATATTCCTTAACTGTAAGTATCAGATATTGTATATAATTTTCTTCAAAATACATTTGTTGCATCAATTTGGAACCGTATAGAATTTGCGTATAGAATTTGCCCATGAGTCGAGGTGAACTGTTAGTCCACAACGATATATACGACCCGGTAGCTAAGCACTTCTGTACTAGCTTGAAAGTACTGATATATTTTTCATTGCTGTGGTAAAATAAAAGGTATAAATGTTGACTCAATTAAGGATTATTTCTCTCACCCATAGTTCTGACCCTTCACGTGTAAGTAAGTGACTCCAGCTTTTGGCAAATCATTTTCCAGATTTTAAAAATGCAAAAATAGGATCGCGGAGCAGATAAAATTTTAGTCAGTTACAGACAATACAATAAATAATATCTATAGTCATATACTCTGTAACATGGAGGGAAAACGAAAAACTACCTAGAAATTCAAATTAAGAATTGTTACATCGATACTTGTACCAAATTATGGTTTTATATTTTGCTTTGTTGAAAAGAAATCAACTTGAGAAGATAAGTAGTCCTTATTGAAAACAACATAAACGATGACGTTTTAGACGTCACTGAGCAGCAGATACCGAAGCAATTTTGTGTTTTTCTCAAGAAAAATCCTGAATAAACTCTAAAAATGTTGAAGGAATTAAGAAAATATGTCACAAGTGAGTTGTGCATGTGTGTACAAATAGTACAGGCAATATTTGAGTGACAGAGACTTTGTATCGGATGAGGATGACCTGTGAGGAAACGGTTTTACTGTAAACATCTGAAAAAAAAACTTTAAAAAAATTTAAAACGTAAATGAAAGACAAAGGCCCTTCCGAGTTTCTTATCCTGTGAAAGCAGAGTTAAGACTAAAAGAAATTAAAACCCTTACAAAGGAAATTATACACAGAGATCAATTCTTAAAAAATAAATGTCAAGTATTAGAAAAAGAATTGAATGAATGGGCATTTGAATATTCTGTGTGAAATGTAAAGGTATAGTATCTTTTATAAATTCTCGACGCTATGTGTTGACGTTACGTTGCCGTTTTGTGTGCTCCGCGGGTACGAAACATGTTGATTTTAAAATGAAGTAAATCTATTTGTGTTAAATCGAATGGAATGAAACTTCACACATCAACATAACAAATATTTTTACATATTACAATGTGCTTGTTTTAAATTTCCAGTGAGTAATATTATGAAGATGGACATCGTCCACGAACTTTTCGAACAACCCTCGTACTATATCGCGTCATGCTGTATCAAATACATATATATATTTATATATATCGGACATATATAAGCTTTGAATTCAGAGAGTATTAATGCAGAATGGGCCGTCCGAATGAGGTAAGATTTAAGAAAAATACGTAATTAATAAAATCATTAAATTAAGTGAGATTGTCAATAAGTATAAAAGTCTTGTTATAAATGTAAATTTCCCTAAGAACTATATTTATTTTTCATTTCAATACCGGGTATTTTACAGAAGACCCCGAATCTCGACAGAGCTCATGCAAATCTTCAACAGATTGTACACTATTTTTGCAAAATACAAATTTAAAGCTAAAGGTTTCATCATTACACCAATTGTTAATTTTTCAACAACATAGAATTAAACAATGAACATGGATATAAAATAGGTAATTTATTAATTATTTTTAGAGTTATCCGCCCTTTTTCCTGCATTGACATCCATCTCCACTGTTTTCTTCGTCGTCTGTGTCGGAGACTTGTAATTTTTATCATCCTGAAGAGGAAATATGATAGAAAAGGCAAGAATGCACGTAATATTCTTCAGATTCTGAAATTTTATTCTTTAACATGTCTGATTTTTTTTTTAATTATTTATTACTTTCAGATATTTGCTGTTTCAGAAGATCCGTGTGAGTTATTTTTTTTTTTAAAAACTGATGCAGTTTTGTTTATCATTTAAATATGACCTCAAATTTCACAACATATTTATGCCACTAGAAAAGAAGATTACGTCATGCAAGACATCACAAAGATAGAAGACCATCAATACCAGGACATCGATGCAGTTAAAAAAAGGTAAATTTTATTTCAATTAATATAGAATTCAATCTACAAATGGATTTAAGAAATAAACATTTTTTATGAAAATATCAAATTTAATGAAAGTTTAGCAACTCCAGTAATGTGTATCCCGTCAATAATAGCCAAAAATATCCATAAAGAATTCAAAAGGCGTTTAGATAATTTTTAAATATTCACAACAAATATATACAATAGTCTTCAAAGTTTCTTTGTGCTGATGATTGAACAACAATAGCACTCGAAGATGACTCTAGGTTTTCCGGGGGTTATCTGTTGTCTGTCGTCCGTCTTTATTTCTGTTTGTCACAAACACTTTCATTTTCTCGCGATTTCTTAAAACAAATTTCATTGAAAATTTATATCTCGAATTTCAATGGCTTAAGGAAGATCACTTTTGATTTTGAGTTCATTAGGTCTACATAAACTTTAAGTACAGTACAAGTGATTTCTGTTTCAGTTATACATAAACTTGTAAAAGCTTTACCGCACTATTTGACTCTTCTATCTCTACAAATCTTTATATAGACAGATCGTAGTGAAATTCATTTGGACATATATTTGGCTGACAGATGTGCTATTTTATATCCACATTGTAGTGCAAACACACATCTAATTCATTTTCTTTTACAGATGAATATCTCAGAAGGTTGAAGAATTTTCCGAAGAGCACAGAAGACCACAAAGCATGATTTATTTACAACGAAATGCAACTCGGGGACAAAAACAAATAAAATAATTATATAATGTACATATAGAGCTTTTTTTGACCGAAAAAACGCTAATTAAAAATTTTAATTTAAATTTGAAACTTTTCATTTATTGACGCAATCTTGTCCTTATTTGTTTATTTTTTTTCAAAAATCAGGGATATTTCTCTGTGTAGTAAAGAAAATATTTATCTTAGTGCTGGGAACTTGACTGACATTAATAAACATGATTTCAAAACACCATGTTCACAGATTTATAAACTTATCCATGAGAAGTATTCAACGAAAAAATTTATTGGAATTCTTTAGATAAAACTTAGAACGCGTTCGATTAAAATTCATGGTGCCATAAAAGTAAGATGAGCTCACTTTTTATCTCAGTCTCACTTTTCTACTATTAATTCATTTGGTTAAAGTGAGACTAAGATCAAAAGATAGCTTGTCCAAGTTTTACTGGCCTAGGAGCCATGTCTCTCCCGAACTGTACTTAAGACCATGTTTAACATCAGAAGAAGGAAATGTTTTTGTCAAATTTTACAACTTTTCAACTCATCTGGGCAATTTCTCGAGCATGCTGCAAACAACGACCTTGAATTATCACATAAAATGCTTAAGAAATCAAACATTCCAACTAATCCTTTTTAAGGTACAACCATAGACTATTCTTATTCTCCGATACTGCTGACGTTGTTCTGGAATTTTCCATCTTATCACAACGTTCTTTTTCATGTGTTTCTAACATCAAGATTTTGTAATGTATGAAATAAAGCAATCGTCTTGACGATCTCACGAACATTGAGCTGAGGAGACGGGTTAAGAAATATCAGTATAATAAAGCGAAGACAAATATTCTTCAAATAAAATTTAATATTAAAGTTCAATCACATCATGTCCATCAAATCATACCTATCTTAATGTTTGCTTGATAACGGAGATTACTGTACACATGTACATAATCTTGGGATGATTAACGTTTTTTGCTTGTTTTACCCATTATTTCGGGGAAGTAAAATTTATTCAATGTAAGTTTAACCTAAATTAAAATGTATTACAATGTATGCTAAAAATGAAAAAAAAAATGTTAAGGAAAATGTTTAAAAATGAAAAGAAGACTTGCCTTCCAACACAATAAACATGCATGTTCTAAGGGTGCAATCACTTATGCTTATTATGCTTATTAGACGTGTTCTTAGAGGGAATTTTGTTCCAGAAGCTAATTTTTCTAACTTCAATACTTTTAGTATTTTTCTGATTGTTGTTGCTATTCCTTTCCATTCAACTCAAATACACGTATTTATCAAATCAGTTACATGGACAAACCTAATAAAAGGAAGCTGACAGCAATATTCGTCTGTGAACTTGTATAGGAATCAGGTCATACATTATTACCAGCGTTTGTTGAGAAATAGATGGAGAGAAATTGGTGATATAGCATACAAGTAACAAACATCCACTTTAAAAACTACCGGAGAATTACATCTGATATGATCTAGATGGATTTTGCAGTCATTAATTTCAATTTACCATGTGTAAAGATGAAGTGGTTGTTTGTTTGGTAATCTATCTCTCACATGCTTTATTATTTGTCAGAAATTTGGCCGTATTTGATATTTGAAAAAAAGTTAAACATACATCAGGATTTTATTACTTTGTATCTTAGATTTTATACACAAATGTAAACACATTCATAATTTTACATACTATTCGCAAAACTGTTAACACAATAATTATTTTTTATAGTATACGCCTTTCCTAAACAAAACTCTGTCAGAGGCCTTGCTCATTCTATTGTGTATCAGAAATGGTGTCCAAAATGAAAAAGTTATTAAAATATTACTGCATTTATCAGGAATAGTAAAGGTAGTCAATGAAGTGAATGTCTTAATAAAAAGAGATTTTTTTTGTTTATACTTATACGGTTTATTAAATTACATAGCGGGTGTGATTTCTCAGTACAAAAAAATATAGTTAGGATTTTGGTATCCATATCTCATATATTCTGCTTTGTAAATTAATAAAAAAGAAAGTGAGGAAAACGAACTATATAATAAAATTTCAATATGTCTGATATTTTCATAAGAATCCCTTTAGATTTTAAAATTCTTGATGCTACAGTAGCTCTTATTTGTTAAAAAAGATTTAAAGAATTTTAATACCTGAAAGAGGTACATTGATCAAGATAACTTAAAAATTTCCGAAAGATTTCATTCCTAATTACCAACTGTTTGTCACGTGATATGGGTCAATTACTTTGAAGAATCGTGCTTCATTCTAATTTCAAGCCACTCAGAAGACGTAACTATATATATTAAAGGAAATTCTGCAAATTTCAGCATTGCAGTGTCCAAAGTTCTTAAGGAGGTGAGCCTTTTAAAAGATAATTCAATCATGTTTTTTCCTAAAATTTCTGTAAAGAAAAATTAATTTTTGTTACAGTTTCAATTTTTTTAGTGGTCATTGCAAATTTCTAAGACATTAAATTATTGAAGAATAAGCACTGGTGCTTTTTTGTCATATGTGTCTAAAATTATATTCCCTCCAAACATTCATTTGTATTGGGAACCCTTTCTAGTTGTTTTGTTGATCTTCATAATAAATGAGGGTAAGAGGATATTTTCAATTTAGTAAATTAAAAAGACCAGAATTAAGACCTTGGAAACGCAAAAATAAAACAATTGAAATCCTTAAATTGTCATACTTTATAAAATTTTTATGAACCATGTTTTATTACGTACTTTTGTTCATTATCTCTTAAGGTATGCACGATTTCTTTGTTAAGAGAAGGATATGGAGATAACGAACAGTATTCAATCTCAAAGTCCATAAAACAATTCAAAATAAGAGCAGAGCAAACACGGCCCCCCGAAATATCAGAGGTGGGATCAGGTAAGATAAGATATTAAGTATATTTAGCAAAGTAATATCAAACAAGAAATTAAATCCTACATGATGGGAAAATAAAAAATTTAAAACAATTTATTATATCTTTATGATTGCGTTTTATGAACAATGCTTTATCTTTATACATTGATTATTCAATGTATGGACTATTTTAATTAATATGCAAAATTTGATATATTTAGCAGTTGACGTGTTTTAACTGTTTTTGTTTTATTCGTCAATTTTATCTTTTTTTCCTTTTCGAAAAAAATACACTTTACCCAATATGGAAAATGTGCTATCTATAACAATTACGTATATTATTAAAAATCTAATTCTAAATATTACAAACACGGAGGTATATTGTAAATTCATACTTAATTTTATTTTAGAAAACATGTAAAAATCTTAATTTTCATAAGCAAGATCAGTTTGAGATGTGCTTTAAGCTCACGCAAATAATAGTCAGAAACGGAGATGTATTTCCAAGTCTTTTAAAACACTTCTTAGTTCAATTATTTTGTTTTCTTAAATGCTATTTCCAATACTAAAAGTGCAAACTCAACTTTAACCCTTTTTATTGCTTCGCATAAATTGTACATGTAATATTTTGTGACTACTTTAACTCCATATTTTTTTTTCAAGATGCAAAACTCTCAAAAAAGGTTGACAATGACAATGGAGTGCTCAACAGTGCGCCTGATAGCTAAAAGTTTAAAAGGTGAAATGTAATTGATATACACAATTTCTCTATTATATTTGTAAATTCGTAAATCTGTGGTCGGAAAGCATGATACACATATTACTCGGTATAATGGACTAGGTATTAACATTCAAATATTTGAATCAGTACATGATTATATTGCAGCAGCCAAATGTTTTAGCCTACACTGTAATGTATGTTACTTCTGCCAATATTTCCTATTCGGTACTACGTTTGGTTCTTTTTCTACTATGTTAGTATTATACCTACATGTATATAGTGTGTTCATACTGACCTTGTAGGGAGAGGGCTAAGATAAGCTTTGCCTGCTGCCCAATCCCATTAATTTTATTTTTGCATACAATTTTGTATTAATGAAGTGATACCGAGAATAATATATCATATTTGAAATATCTCAATGATTAGAATTCACAACATTTATATTATCTAACATGCACGTAATGCATGTACAAAGCATGCAGGATTGCGTGAAAAAAAGTGGAAATGGAAAGTTCTGACAACTCTCAAACATATTTTTACTTACATCATATCTTCAACGATATGCAAAGATGTTTAGCACATAACCTTCATTAAAGTGTGAACTAAACCATGAAGTTTCAAAATGTAATTAAAAAACAACCATAAAAATACTCATATTTGCAGGCAAAGAGAAAAAAGAGAAACGGATATACAGATACTCCGGAGAATGCAACGTAATAGATTTAAAACAAAGGCAATCAATTTGATCAATAATAAATGGTGACTTTATTGTCTTCTAATAGGTGAACAGTTTATAAAAACTCACAAAAACCTACTCGAAAGTTCAATTTGAAAGAGATAAAAATGATAAAAATGAACTTAAAGGCAGAGATTTTAAGCACCACCTTCAAAAATACCTGGTCTGGTAGCCCTGTCAATCGAGTGTGTGAAGGTCGATTATTGGATGCTGGAACTTGATTGACAGCTACTTACTGGTCCCTGTGTATACCCTGTACACCTTGTTTGGGACTCGTGGTGACCTTCTAATTAACTTTTGATCCTTTGATGTTTACTGAACATGGTATACAGAATTACTGTATTACTATGAATTTTTTTAGATTGCTAATATATGAATTAAAATATACCTTGAATATTTGAAAGGAAAATAATGTAATATGCATTTAAAAAAAATAACCTTTGGTACATAAAACTTTTTTCCAATGAAATTTAGATACCCCTTATAATTTTAAATATGCTAAATGGTAAACCTAAAGTGGAAATGTTATTGATAGTTCAGAGCAGCACTGTGTGAAGTAATTAAAATAAAAAAAATAATGTTTCTAATCATGGGTCACTTACTTTTTCCTTTTTTATTTAGATGAGAATTTACAAGAAATCATTTTTAGCATATTTCATGGCGATAAAGCCTTATTAAGGTTAAGAGAGACCTATACAGTGCAGATATTTTTTTTTGTGAAATGTACAGTAGTTCACACAGCTCTCTTTTCATTTAATAATTAAAAGACGGGATCAAGGGATGAATGAATTAAATTTAGATCTAAATTGGTTGTTACAAGAGTTGTTTTCTTTAAATTAACATACACAATGATATCTGAAACAATCTTTGTTTTAATTATTTTTTTTTATTTATAGTATGATATAGTATATTTTTTTAAATGGGTAGGGGTGTTTTCAAATAGTAAAGAATTATTCGATATATAATTGAAAAACATTTTTACTACTTATTTTAAAATTGTCTCAAAATACCCAACACAGGTAAAGTTTGACATCTGGGTATTTTACTGTGTATTAAATCACTTCCTGTGTATAGGGATTAGAAAACAGGTGGCCACAGGTAGACTGCTAGCCCCTAAGGCATTCTCAACTGTAAAAAATAAGCCCCTCCCTCACCTGGAATTTACCACCCGGTAAAAAATCTCTGCCTTTAACAGCAAAGCTCCAATGAAGAAAGAACCAGTTAAATTTTTGTAAGAATACTGTCTATATAATAATTCTT